GGTTTGCAGCCTGGGTGGCATTGATGCAGCTGGTGACAAACTTCTCCTTGGTCACGTTGGCCTCGGAACAGCCGTTGTAGTAGATGCCATCCGGGAACTGCCAATAGTTGGCCTCGTAGTACCTGTTGCCCTCGGCTCCGAAGTTGATATCCAGCTTCTGGCCCTGCTTGATGAAGGTCCCGGGGCGCATCTCCACCCTTTGGGCCTGCGTGACCTGGGAGGTGCTGGGTAAGGTCTTCCGGTTCCACTTGATTCTGTGCTTTATCCCTCTCGCCCTGACTGTGGAGAGCTGGCTGAAGAGCAGGACACAGACAATGGCCAACCAGCATCTACTCAGCTGCTTCCTCATTGTGTCAGAATCTGCAACAGCAAAGGATGGAACAATTAAGTTCTCCAGTGGGGTTCTCTGTCTCCCCCCGCCCTGCTCCCATGGGCAGGTTTTAAACAAGGAATGGCATTCATGCTCTATTTACATTTTCCCAGAAGCATAATTGTTTTCCCATATTTGGGCCGCACAGGGTTAAGTCAATACCGAGTTTCTTGCTTTTGCCTGGAATTATGTCCATTCAGGGTGGGGATCCTGGTTTTCTCAGGCAGATAAGAAGCTGCAACTGGCAATTATAAAGCCTTTGAATGTGCATGGGAAAAAAAATGAGTAATGACTTAATGCATATATGATCTCTTTGGTACTCCCTAGTCTATCAAATCAAGGGGTCCCTGGGAGGAAAATACAGAAGAGTTGGAATCAGAGGCTTCTGGGCATAGGCTGTGTTTTTAATTTTCTCTCTTTCTTCTCCATTGCTCTAAGCTGGTACTCTTGTGGGCGCATTCTGCCATGTACTCTTGAGAGTCACTGACTGCTGATCCTGAAGGCCGTTAAGGTAATGAGAGAGAGAGAGAGAGAGAGAGAGAGAGAGAGAGAGAGAGAGAGAGAGAGGGAGAGAGACAGAGAGACAGAGAGAGAGAGACGGAAGAGAGAGATGGAGGTGTAGCTAGCCCTCCCCCCCCCTGCTTCCTATGTCCAGGAGTAATCCTTTCATGTCTCGCTTCTCTGGACTGTGNCAATAGATAAGCAGTGGTGTATCTACTCTTGCTTATGGCGTGAATGAATTGTTTACTAGGTTCTCCTAAAGACAGTTTCTTTTTCACTTTCTGGCTAGGAGGAGTTATATTTTTGTAGTGATAAGTGATAAGTGGTTCACAGACTTGATGGTTCATCGCCAAAGTGGTGGTAGAAATACTGGTAGAGATTGTGTGGAGTCCTTGTGTAAAGGGAGTATTTTTAAAGATGCTCAGACACGTGTACTTAAAAATATGTACATAGGGTGAGGGGAACTTCAGAAAGCAAGCATGTGATTTAAAGATATTTCTTAAATACGTGGACTGTTTCAGAGATGGGAACAACAAACACTTATCCTTCTTCTGAAAAAAACAAAACAAAAACAAACAAAAAAACCTTTATGTGATAAACACATCCTGCTGTGGATCTAATCTGTTCTGGGACTCAGCTTGGCAATATTTCCTTTCGAGATAATGTCTGGGCTGTTGTCTAGCTTTATTTCTATTTCAGTTTAATCCCTTTATCATATTTTAGTTTAATTAGAGGAATTAAATGAACCCTCCATGCAATAAGACATCAAAATACATGGCTCAGGTCTTTTCATATTTCCTCAAGTGAAGTTTCCACCATTCCATCAGAGATATATGTTTGGGTTTGGCCTTGAGAGCCATCAGGGATGACAAGATAGCTCTGGAATTGCACAGAGCAGAGCGTCTGGGTTAGACAAGCCAGGATTGAAGTCTGGCGCTGCCACTTTATAGCTACTTCACTTCTCGGAACCTCAGTTTCCTCATCTATACAATGGGAATCACACCTACCTCTAAGACTTGTGGGGAAGCATTGTGAAGTGCTTGGCACAGTCCCTGGCACGTCCTTTTATCTGTTCACCAATCATGTATTGCATAGTACAGTCTGCTAGACACTCCACCAGGGGGCTGAGGATGTATAATGAACAGGCACCCTCCAGTAGAGCCTGTAGGGGAAGTTGCTAACACAAACATTTATCAAATACCAGCAAATACCCGAGTGGAGACGTGGGAGTGCCATTTGAAGTGCTGAAGAATCACTGCTCTTTGGTACCTTCAGAACACGTGTGGGATTGGGCTGGGGGAGGGAGCTGGGATAACTTGCTGGTGGTT